GGAGTTTGAGTTCCCCAACTTCCAGTGTGACCTAGGCAAACACAAAAGCCCCCCTACAGCAAGAATAAAATTATTGTGCGTAAAAACTGAAACGGCGAAAAATAATTTTTTTCTCTGCTAAATGACACTATATTTTCAATTGGAAGAGTGTACCAGTTCTGTCTTAGAAATTATTCTCTCTTGTGTTCCCTGTACATACATGTCCCAAGGTCCATGGTATGTCTGTGAAATGTCAGGATGATGTCTGCAATAACATGATTGGAGCCACGCCCTTTTTAACATGCACCATTCATGCAATGCATGGAAAAAAGGGTTGTGGCTTCAGTCATGCAGCTGTGGACAACATCTTGACTTTTTTGACAGGACAGTCCTCAACTTTCTACCCAAATTTTCTGTTGCTAAGCCAGACATGTTTTTGCTCCATTTTGCAACCTTTCTTGCCAGTTTGTTAAGTGAATCGCTGCAATTGTTAAAGATAGTCACACATGGTTGTTAAGTAAATCTTACTTCTGACTTCCACACTGACTTTGTTAGAAGGTTGCAAAAGGTGATTGTATGATCCCAGGACACTGCAACTGTCATAAACATGTCAGTTGCCAAGCATCTAAATTTTGATCACGTAGCAATGGGCATTGTGCAAATGTTATGTGTGAAAAATGGTCCTAAGTCACTTTTTTCAGTGACATTGTAACTTCGGTCACTAAATGAATCACAACACACTTTCAAAATACCACATACTCTAGAGGACTTCTAGTATACTCTATCACCAGGTACAGTAATTCCTAATTTATTTTCTAAGGAAGGCATTAGAGACTGACTAGCTGCCATGCCAGTACCAAGGGAATAAAAAATTCCTTGGTTTTCTAGATTGAAAATGAAGTTTCTGAAACTGTTGCAACTCATCATCTTAATTCAGATTCTGACAGCTGGTTTTGGACCAACTACTGAGAAACTCCCACATTTAATTTCTCTGTTGATTGTATAATTGTAATTTTGACAAGTATTCTTTGAAGTACTTAGCTTAGATGGTATTTCAGCTTGATTAGTTGGATCAGGCTGTAAATTTTCTCTGACCCTGAACTTTTGATACTGTGTTCTTGATTATGACAGCAGAGGATTTTAGTAGAAACAAATAGCTTATGAAATTACTGTTTTGAAGGGCAAGTGTATTTAGCTGTGGAGTTTGATCTAATACCATTAATTGTATGGTCAACAAAAATAGGCAACAACAGTTGAAATATTTGCTTGTTTACACTACAGAAACTAGATTTAGAACATTGTCTTGCAAAATTAGGCAATCTGATATTTTCCAAATGCTTTAGCCTCAAGCTCTCTTCAGTCCCAATTGCTCAAGCATGGCCAATGACAAGGAATTATGGGAGCTGTGTTTCAAAATATGGGGATGGCACCAGGTTACCTAGATCTGCATTGTTCTGCCAGCATCTCATTCAAGCAAAACTAACCAATTAGGAGCTGGTGATATTCAATTTTCTTCCTCATCAAATGCCCAAGGATCTAGTCATTTGTAGGAGAGAAATGTTCTTAACAACAAACGAATCTATTGTTAATGTAATTTCTTTCTCACTTATGGTTTTTTAAAACCAGTTTCTCAGTTAATAGTATTCTTTTAAGAAGCAAAATCAGTTTTGCTTATGACACTATTATCAGGCTGTTTCTTTTCAACAGAGGATGATTAATCTTATTCTGCAATTATTGCCAAGACATATTTGCAAATTTTGTTAAAAAAAATCTATCTAGAGTTCATTAAAAAAGAACTTTCTGCTTTTGAGACTGCATATTCTTTTATCATTAAATGTTTTCAAGCTTCCGATGGCTTTAAAGTGTTGCACATCAAGTATACATTTTGATGAGCTCCACGGTACTTTTCTAGCCTGAATGCAAACTAGAACCTACCTCTATTAATTAAAGAGCCACATCTCTGTTCTATCATCATCTTATTCTTAAGTTCTGGAAAAATGTTAATAAATAGCATGCAAAAATCTAACAATCTAGAAACAATGATCACCAAAGATGTTGGTGCAAGATTATGCAGAACATCTAAATAGAAAACCAAATTCCAGTTCTTCAACTGTATTTTTTAAAAAGAAGGTAATGAACTGTGAAAACATGCATACATCCAAGTAATATTATAGCTTAGGCAAGAAATAATTTATCTATACATGCGAAACAAATGCTGAATATTTACCTGAAACTTAATCATGACTATAACAAAAATGCTGTTACCTTTCCAAGATGATTCTCTCTTCAAATGTGTTCACAAAGTACACAAAATAGAGGTTGCCTTTGTTTCTGCTTGGAATGTTTTTATCCCATTACGGTTATGTACTCAAATTTTTTTGCCAAGTTATTTCAGAAATTATAAAATAAAAGTAGCAAATAAAACTTCTACATCAATTTGTGGTTATCCATTTATGCATTTGGCACATTAAAATGCATTTGGTATGGCAAAGCAATGTGTATTGTCAACTTCAGGAATTGTATTTATTTTATTTATATACAGTATCACATTTATACCCTGCCACAGTCATAAACAGACTCTCATTAGCAATCATATTCTTGGAATTAGTAACGCCTTTAATTTTCAGAAAGAAAAGGTGACCTGAAAGTAGCAACAGCAATCATAATACATGATGATATTACAGTACTTGAAAAGTTGTCAGTTCATAACATAATCAAATCTTAAAATAAACCAAGTATTTGTGTCTTTTAAGAGAAGGGAAGTATTCAATTATTTAAATCTAATTTTACAGAAAAACATTTTCCTTCCATCACTGTTGTTTTACTTTTAGTCCTACAAATTGCAATTCTGGCAATTTTAAAAAATCCAGATATCTTTCTGTTGTCCAAGATAACATATTCATGGATACTTTCATACAAATTATGAAATATTTGAACATTTACTAGTGACAATTAAAATATCAATTATTGAATTATACAGAACAATGAAATAAGCAATTCCCTGCTGTCATGAATTACATTTTTAATATTGCTTAAAGCTATTTTATTTTTTAAAATACAATTTCATGGAACTTTGTTTTTATATATGCTAACTACAGCACGATTATTGTATGCAGAAGATGGAAACATCTGCCAAACCTATGACACTAGTTGGTGAGGATGATAGAACTGGCTGAGATGGCCAAATTGATCTGTTTGATTAGAGAAAAGATGTTTATTGCTGACTGGAAACTCCTTATGGACTTTTTGCATTAAAAGGAAAAATGAACTTATAATATATGGTTTTGACAAATTATAGAAAGAGTCATGACACAACTTTACAGAAAGAAAGAAATCTACAATTGTACTTATAATTACTTCAAAGATCAGAAGCCACTTCTAACTTTTTTCTTTCTGTTCTAGTTTTCATCCAACTTTTTTCTTTTTGCACTTTTGCTTTCTCTTTTATTTATTCCTTTTTTCCTTCTTACTCAATTTTAGTTTGCATTAATTTTTACTCATTTTAAACTTTCAATATTTCTGTATTTTAAAAAAAAAATTACAATTTCAAATGTAATGCTGTTTATATCTGCTAGTGGACCATCACTTAAATATGAGCCAGCAGTGTGCTGTAGCTGCCAAAACAGCCAATGCGATCCTAGGCTGCATTAGGAGAGGGATAGAATCAAGATCATGTGAAGTGTTAGTTTCACTTTATAATGCCTTAGTAAGACCACATTTGGAATATTGCATCCAGTTTTGGCCACGATATAAAAAAGATGTTGAATCCAATCTGGGTCAGTCACCGAGACCGGAGGTTTAATCTTCTGAGCTTTTGGACTCGTGCTGGAGCCCATCCTCAGGGAACTTCTATCAAAATGTGACCCATTCCATAGAGAGACGTTGCCTGAGGATAGGCTCCAGCACAAGTCCAAAAGATTAAACTTCTGGTCCCAGTGACCAACCTAGACTGGATCCTGCAACATTATCCTAGGACACATACATTTGTCTTCATTCGTAAAAGATGCTGAGACTCTAGAAAGAGTGCAGAGAAGAACAACAAAAATGATTAGGTCACTAGAGGCTAAAACATATGAAGAACAGTTGCTGGAATTGGGTATGTCTAGTTTAATGAACAGAAGAACTTAGGGTGACATGACAGCAGAGTTCCGATATCTCAGGGGTTGCCACAAAGAAAAGGGAGTCAAGCTATTCTCCAAAGCACCTGAGGGCAGGACAAGAAGCAATGGATGGAAACTAACCAAAAAGAGAAGCAACCTATAACTAAGGAGAAATTTCCTGACAACTAGAAAAATTAATCAGTGGAGCAGCTTGCCTTCAGAAGTTGTGGTGCTCTATCACTGGAGATCTTTAAGAAGAAATTAGACTACCATTTGTCTGAAATGGTATGGGGTCTCCTGCTTGAGCAGGGAGGTTGGATTAGAAGACCTTCAAGGTTCCTTCCAGTTGTTATTTCAAACAATTCTACCAGCCTTTAGAAGAACAGACCAATGTAATCATTTGACATTTTCAAAACCTAATATAATTTATATTGGGTTCATTATAATATATTCTAATGATCAACTCAAGGCTCTATTGAATGAAACTGAATTTCTAGATCCATGTCAATTCAGTTTTAGAGCTGCTATAGAACAGAAATCATTTTGATCACCCTGTGGGATAACCTGTAGCAGGAAAAAGATGGGGCGAGTATGACACTCTTGGTCCTCCTGGATCTCCCAGAATCTTTTGATTCTATCAACCATGGTTACCTCTTGGATAGAGTGTTAATGTTGGGATATGGGGACACCGTAGAATGGTGATTCTGCTCCTACTAGGATGGCTACTTCCAAAACATGGCCTTCAGGAGTATTCTTCAGTCTCACTGTGGTTGGGTTATGGCAGGAGTAGTCAACCTTGGCTCTTTTATGACTTGTGGACTTCAACTCCCAGAATTCCTGAGCCAGCTTAGCTGGCTCAGGAATTCTGAGAGTTGAAGTCCACGAGTCATAAAAGAGCCAAGGTTGACTACCCCTGGGTTATGGTGTTCTTCAGGAATCCATTTTATCTCCCATGCTCTTTAACATATACATGAAGCCATTGGCAAAAAGTAATTCAGGGATGCGGGTTAAAGTCCATCAACATGCAGCAAATGGGAAATAGGCCTAGGATAAATGTCAATGTTTATAATATATTTCACCAAGAGAGCATAAGTGCTGGAAATAAGGTATTTGCTTTCAGGTACGGAATTCTGCAAGGCAGGCAAATCTTATAGGAACAGCTTATATATCATGGGTTACATAAATATATGACCTCTAATAACATGGTATAGTTAAGCAGGTAACTAAAATCCATACCCAGGGATTACAATTTACAACAGACTTTCCAAACTTCTTGCTGGCAACACAAATAAGATGGAAATATTGATACTTTTTTTTCTTTGTATACAGACACAAGAAAATGTTTTATTTCTTTCACAAATGTTTGAAGGGACAGTATTCTGCTGTTTTATACCTGTACAACAATTTAATAAATCAATGATCCATAATACAGCCAAGAACCATACAGCACAATATATAAGCATTTTAAGATGAAGTTATTTAGATCTAGATTTGCTCTCTATTATTGTTCCCTATGTTAGCCTCTATCTGTTATTATTATTTTCCTTTTTTTCTTGGGAACTTCAATGGATCTTATAAAACAATGAAGGCCACTGAAAAGTATGTGCCTATTATGGATCCTCCCTATCTCAAATCATTTAAGGATAATTAGTATTTTATTTTGCACAATGAAATATTTGGATCCACAGCCATATCCTTATTAGCAAAAATGAAATTATTTTGAGTGTTTATCATTTTCATACTGAAAACTCTTTAAAAATGATACAGCTATACAATGAAGTAAATATATCAAAATTTAGCCAATGGCAAAGATGGAAACATTTGCACAGACACAAATTTCCATCTACTTATTTTTTTTGTAAAAGAAACCTAAAGAATTCATTAAAAAGAATCAGAGAAATTTTAAATACTAAGAAACTGGAGACTATATGAGTGTTCTTAATTTTAAGAGCAGCACTGTAGCAGCATGTGATTAAATGATAGACATGAAGAAATTAAAAAAAATTACCATATGAAAACAAAGTAGAAAAAGGCAACATTATGTAGGACGCCATTAAAACAATTTAATTCTGAATTTCTGATAAAAAGAGAAATGCACTTCTTTAAAGTTGGTTTTAAGATGCTGTCCTGATGTGCCACCCCTAGGTATATATTTCATTTTCTTGCCCAAAACAGAGTGTCCCTTTATTACTTCTTAATACTGGGTTTACTCAGACATGTAGAAACGATACATAAGAGCCACAATGATAGCTGCTATTGCTGGAATCACCCAGTTGGTCCATGAACTGGAAAAAAACAAAACAAAACATTATTTTCATACTATACCCATTAGTTACTAAATGTTTCAGAAGATACATTCATTTACAGGTTGTCCTCATTTAACAACTGGTTGCTTAATGACCATTTTAAGTTACAACAGCTCAAAACAAGTTACTTGTGACCTTCAAAGTTACAACTTCCCGCATTTCAGGTGCTTGGCAACCAGCTCACTTTATGACCACAGAATCCCATGATCATGTGACCATGATCTGCAACTTTTCTTCTTCCTGTTTTCCAGCAGAAAATAGCAAAGAAACACCCATCGGAGATGCCAGATTTGCTTAACTGGATTAACTTAATGACTACATGTTCATGGATTAACGTTAACGACCACGTTAACTCGTTTTACAACCCTCATAAAAGAGTCATAATATCAAGACAAGTCACACAGTGACCTGCTTAATGACTGCAGTGACTTACAACCCAAATTATGGGCCCAATTGCAGAAGTTAAGCAAGGACTACCTGTATTTTCAATAAAGCGATTTTCTGAACAGAGTAATTACCTTGTTACCACATGCTTAGGCAAGCAGCGAGACAATCTGCTTAGAAGTAAAAGTATTTACACAACAATTATTGAGTAAATATAATTAAGACTGCCTGTGTGTGTCCCAAGAGAAGGCAGACTTCCTGAGTTGAACTATATGAAATGCAAAATAAAAGTTTTTTTTTTAGTTAAAAGTAATTACAAAAGTATTCTTAGATGCAGCCTGACTTAGATATGTCTTCTGTTTAACCATCTGAGCTGTTCAGGAAGAAACAAGCCCAATAAATTCCTCTGGAATCCTACAACTGTATACCTCTCAAAACATACCCAACATATGACTCCAAAAGGATTAGTGAAACTTCAGGAGGAATAATCAATATTCATCCCTGGACTGCAGCCATAAAGGAGACTTAAAGCATGCTAGCTTTAAGTATCCTTCCTAGTTTTCGAATATGATGATACATCTTACCTGAAGATGAATTGATATACTAGATGAACCATGTGCTATGGGAACTAACTTGCTTACATAATAAAAGCAATCATAATTAAGAAATTAAGATCAATTATTACACATGAATTATTACAGACAAATTCCTGCTATAGTAACTGTTAGGAAAAAGCAATTCTGCCTACCCAATATTATCCCAATCTATTCTTAATAGAACTCGTGCTGCATTATAAAAAATATTAGAACACGGTACTATCAAATTGCAAATTGAATAAAAATTGTACCTGGCATTAGAGTCAACAGTGGTAATATAAGGGCCCTGAAAGACAAAGACATTTAGTTACAGACTTTAAATGGTTTCTAAGTTTTTCCTTCTTATAGAAAAATAGCTCATACAATGACTGAGATCGTTTTTCTGCTGGGCTTCTTCAAATTACCCCAGGTTTACTATTGTAACTTATTCTATCTATTCTGAGGTATCGTTGAATATTGGTGCTCCCTTGTTAGTTTATTCTGACTCACTGAATTCTATCGTGTATGACATGAGATCCAAACTCCACACAAACAAATTAAGTATATGAATTACACGGTGTTTTTAGGAGTTCCATTTGAAACATTTTCACCTATAAATTGATCACACAATTCTCAATGCATTCAATTTGGTTACTAAAAACATGAAACTATTGGGTTACAATATGAAAGCAGAGCAGTTAAATGATTAACATTTGTGCATTCCATTGTTCTTCAAAATGGAAAAAGCTGAAAGAGGCACTACAAGGAATGTTTGCCAATAAAGATCAATTATCCGACTTTTATTACAAAGTTTAAACGTTCACAAGGAACAAAACAATCAAAATAACCACTCGCTTTTGCTCATAAAATGTAGATAATAAAACAGATGTTTTTGGGAGGTATATATGAACATTTTGAAGTTTATTCAGTACTGACTGGTCATGACCACTTTACTGCCGAAAACTGAGGAATGTGTACATTAATTCAAAGTTTCAGCTTGCTCAATATTAACAGATTTTGGTTTGAAATCTCAATTTTCAACTGATGTGTATGTTATTGGTTTTATTAAGGCATAAGGAATTATGAATCGTCATACAAATCCATTAGCCAAGTAAATCATACAACATCAATCAATATCTGATTGCAAGATATATGCAGTTTGCTGACAGGAGAATTAGTAATAGTATTAGTATTTTTCATCAGAGAGACTGGGTAGAATAATTTTGAGCAAGTTAGTCTATGATATATATTCAGGCTGTTTTCCCCTTATCCTTTAGATTTATATTATAATCGGCTATTGGTATAATTAATTGTTAATTTGGATTATACAATTTGTATTTTGTATATTATTAAAAAGCTAACTTGATAATACTCCCAATAAAATCCTGTTATTTTCTTTATCACTATTATTTTTGGTTACTTGGATTTAACATCTTCCCTCAAAATTTTTTGCCAATTCAGAGCTCACTTTTCTGACATGTGCCCAAGCACTTTGTCTGAGATAGGCTCTATTGTTACCTTACCCGAACAACAAGGATTCAGTACAATACACCTTAATATGCACAATATTTTTTTACACTTTGCTCAATATTGTTAACTCCAAAAGGGCATAGTCCAATGAGCACCTGGCTCTGACTAACTTTTACTGAAACACACTACCTATTCTAATAATATGCCTGGTATAATGTAAGGGGAAATAGCTTTGACAATATTACCTCTACAACTTTTAGAGAAGTACAGAAACCAGGAGACTGTGAATTAAACACAAAGCCAGCTGGATGACCTTGGACCAGTCACCTTCTCTCATTCTTAAGCAGACAATGAATGGCAAGCCATTTCTGAGAAACCGCAGCAAGAAAACTGCAGGGACAGTCCAGGTGGTTACCAGGAATAAAAAAATATTCTATGTTCATAAAGTTTAGGGCTCTATCCATAATTCTTCTGAATAAATGATTTGTGGTATAGTCTTTGATGGTGCTCTGCTCAAGGTTCTCTGGAATTATTACCTAATAGACCAATTGTAATTAATTCTACATCATCAGGTAATACAAGACTGTCTCACTGAGATAATGTTAAGCCACTCATACTGATTAACACTCTAGTAACTATCCTATAGAATTTATTAAAGAGTATCTGTTCAAGTACTGATTTTCACCTAACTCTTGGAAATAATTCCTCCAGTATAATGAATAGTCAACAGCCCTCCATAATGTATAGGATGTTTCTGCTTAAACCTTTGTGCATTCTAGCCCCACCCCACCCCTCAAAAGATAAACAGACACTGCATTAGAAAATATTTGACTGGGATGGAGATAAATAAACAGTAAAGTTCTGTCAACCTCCCCAAAACTTGGGGTTCCTATAAGAAAATGTAGCCATGGTTATGTTTAGTATTTATTTAAAATGTTATAATGAAATTTAAAAAAGAAATGCTTACCGTTGGTTTTTCAACTTTTTCCCAATCATCCTGAAAGATACAAAACATTTTGTTAGAAATATATATCTAATCCATTCATGAATCACTTGGTTAACTCTTCAAGAGATAAATCATTATCTTTCCTTTAAAAATTTAGACAAGTGTTTACAGCACACACTGAACATAGTATATAGCACAGCTTGAATCACAGCAATGACCAAATGATATGCAAGGTGGTATTAAAAGAATTAACATGTACAAAATCATAGTAAAATACAGGTTTTGCAATATTTTCTACTGCCTTTGTAATGGCAAAAGCAGCAGGAACAGATATTATTTTGGAAGGTAAAGTGCTGAGATATCATTTTAATAGAGGCTGTTAAAATTAATTCTTGTATAGAATCAGGCAAGGGCTGTGTATATACCAAAGCTGTACTTTTTCAGAGAGAACCATTAATCGGCAGGAGGGCCCATTTACAAAGAATTTAGAATGAGAAATTAAAATATACATGTTTTACATATGTTAATTAATAATTTTATTTACATTTTTCATCGGAGGAGAAACTGCAGTTTTGAAATAAATTAACAGACTACAGTATTGAACCAAGGGATTAATAAACCTAACATTGCATTACCAATAGGAAGACGTTGCTCACTAATAATATCCCTTTTTTCTTTCCTGTGTCAGGTTGCTCTGTTATTTGAATTTATAATATTTCATAGTTTATTTTGAATATAAAAGTACAATATAGACCAGTGGTGACGAACCTATGGCACGGGTGCCAGAGGCGGCACTCGGAGCTCTCTCTGTGGGCACATGTGCCGTTGCTCCAGCCTTGCCTCCGCCCGTGACCCCCTCACCAGCAGCCCCCCTGGAGGAGAGTCGCCCCAGAGCGTGGCCCACACGGAGCAGCGCAGCCAAAGACATGGCAGCCTGGCAGCGTAGACAAGACTCTGCTCTCATGCCCCAATGCGCACAGTTGATGCTGCGAGGTGCGGGTATATGGTGTGGCCGGCATGGCGCTGCTGGGCTGCCTGGATGATCTGTGGTGGGCCCTGGAAGTGGTGAGTGGCCTTGTGGGCAGGCAGGGTGGAACGGAGTGGGGGCAGGGCAGGGGATGGAGCGGGGGTGGGGGCAGGGTTGTAGAGCAGGGACGGGGCCAGTTTTTGGGCACTCGGTCTCTAAAAGGTTCGCCATCACTGATAGAGACATATATTATAAAATATAATACTTCAATTATTGTACTTTAGATAAAATGCATTATACAATTGTGCCAGTTTTTGCATCCTGAAAAATACTTTGAACAATTATTATAATTCTTGATTAAGAGGCTACAATGACTGGGTAGTACAAAAATATCTGGATGAATCTAGGTTACAGAGGAATGTTTTCAACAATTCTAACTTAATAGCTTTTATTAAAGTATAAAAACTACAGGTAGTACTCGACTTACAACAATAATTGAGCCTAAACTTACTGTCGCTAAGCGATACAGTTCTTAAGTGAATTTACAATCTTTCTTGCCATAGTTGTTAAATGAATCCCTGCAATTGTTAAGTTAGTAACATGGTTTTGTTAAGTGAATCTGGTTGACGTTGTTTGTCAGAAGGTTGCAAAAGGGGATCACCTGACCCCAGGGGGCACTGCAACTACCATACCTACGAGTCAGTTGCCAAGTGTCTGAATTTTGATCATGTGATCATGGGGATGCTGCAACAGTCGTAAATACGAAAAATGGTCATGTCGCTTTTTTCAGTGCCGCTGTAAATTTGAATGAACTGTTGTTAAGTCGAGGACTACCTGTATAAGAACATTAATATCCATGCTTTTTGTACTTACTGGATGAAGCTCCCCTATAATAAACGTTTCTGACAATGTCCTGGCATCTGTAGAATGTCCAACATCTTCAAAACTTTCTGTTGCATCTCCGCCTGCTTGTTCCCTTAGGACTTCTTCACCACCAGGGTGCTGTTAAATAGAAGAAAGCATGGAGACTTCAATGTATATACTTTAGAATCAATTAGCATGGCTGTAACTTGCACTACACAAACTCCTCTATTTTGAGCATAATTTATCATTCTGATATTTTTAATGCACAATCTGAAAAAAAAGTTCATTTTTCCCTGTTCACTAATCAACTTTGATCTTTTTTCATAGTTCTAATACCATAGTATTATAACTCCTATAATTAAATAAAGTTAAATATCCGTTTAACCAAGCCATTATTTAGTCTCCAGATTTATTTATTCAATTGTGTCCACTGCAATTAAGGAGGATCTTGGTGGTTTACAATTCATCTGTTAAAAACAAAAACAAAATTTCCGCAGTCCAATAAATAAAAATAACAGTAACAAGATAAGGCAACATAATAAAACCTCCATAATATACAGATAAAATGAAGATAAGCAGACTGCAGTTAATACATAAGCAATTACAAAGCAAATAAAATCAATCACAATACTTCATATTCCTAGTGCTTTATTGAATCATTCTGTTTTTAATAACTTGCAGAAAATTAGCAATGTCGAACCTGGGTGAAGTTATTCTAGAACAGGGGCAAAACAACAGAAAAGTAGTTTCTGTGTGCTTCTGTCCCCTTTACTTCAGAGAGAAGTAAATTAGCATTTTCTCATTAACAGATTTTCCTAGCATATATTACTTAGACGGCTCCTAACTGTAGTTGAAGATCATCCTGCAAGTATCTCAGTAAAAAACCACGTAGAGAATAAATGTTAAAACTAACATAATGAACTGTGTTGAGTATTTGGATGCATATGAATATGTGGGTCCCAGAGCACAGAATTCACATACTCAAGCTGATCTGTACCAGCACACAAACAGATGCTACATTGTGCGTCAACAGTATTTTCCAGATGGTCTTCAAAGTGCAAATAAAATAATAAATAAAATAAAATAAAATGTAGTTAAAATATTCGCAGAGAAATTCTTAAGCAATTCTCAAAGTATGATCCACTGTCTGTTTCCAGCATTCATCAAAAATGCATTTGCTAAAAACAATATCCCTGGGAGGAAATCAAAATCACATGTTCATAAACAGCTCAACAGGAAAAAAAACTGTCTTGGCTCAGCAAATGTGTATCTGCAGTATAAATGGGCAGCCATTAGCTCAGGGTAGGAATTATGTTCCTATTTTATATAAAGACAAATATATTTGAGTTGTTGCTGTATGTACCGTAAGAGTTAAGAATTAGTTTCTTAGAGCAGAGCTATCAACAACTAACAGTAATCCAGCTGCAAAGTCCAAAAGAACAAGGCAAAAAAGTATATTAAACTGTGTGAAGAATAGGAAATTAAGCCAATGAGCGAAAGAAAGCTCAAAATTATAACCAATACACACATAATCTCTACATTCCATAGCATGGTCTATGCTTGTTGTATTTTATATACAACAGAAGCCTCTTGGAACAAAATTCCATTTACTTATGGAAAAACCAGCCAATTGCATTGCATGGATTTTCACCTATAGGTAGTCCTCAGTTAACAATAATTCAGATTGGAATTTCAGTACTAAACAATACAGTTATAAAGGACAATGACACGTAACCATATCACTAACTGACCAAAATCCCAGCAGCTCTCTGCTGCCATTAATCAAATCCCACTGGTTGTTAGACCCATCCTGATCCAAGTCATTCTCAGCTTGGTCCCTCCCAGCTCAGAGCCTGAGTAAGGTAAGAGACTGTTTCCTTTTGAACTCCACTCACCTGCCTACCTCCTTCCCATCTCTGTCCTTTTGGCTGCTGCATACCCCCCTGCCACCAGCTGCCTCCACTGTCCAGCCTTACCCCTTACACTGCTGTACCAGCTAGAGCAGACATGTCAAACACAAGGCCCGAGGGCTGGATGCGGCCCGCAAAGTGGTTTTATGTGGCCCGCGAAGCCATCCTGGAAACAGTGAGGGAACGGCCCCCGCCGGGAGCCAATGTACAATTTTGTGGTGGCCATCTATGCTGAAACGCATTCAGTCTTAGCTCCACAAGGCCATCTGGAAACAGCAAGGAACCAGCATGCAACCCCTGGGTGCATGCTGGGGAGGTGTCACCCTTTGTGAGGAATGAAGAAATGGACCATTCCTTGGCGCTTGCCCCGGTCCCACCCCCTTCTGCCAGACACCCTCAGATCTGTCCCACTCCTGCCCAGGCCCACAGGAACCCTTGACGTGAACGATGTAGAGCTGGCCATGCCCACCCAGTAGGCCACACCCACCCTGGCCACACACACCCCACACCCCCAAGGGCAACCGCAATGCTGATGCGGCCCTCAATGAAATTGAGTTTGACACCCCTGAGCTAGATGCTTCTTGTGCCAGTGCAGCAGGGATTTCTCTTGTGCCTCACCCAAACTTCTGTTTGTTCATCAGACAGGATCTCTGTTTGAGCTCCATCCCGGGCCTTCTGCAAAAGAAGCTTGGTGCACAAAAGAAGACCCTGGCTAGAAGGGTTCTTCTGCAGTCAAGCATCCTAGCCATTTTTTTCCGTAACAGGCATCTTTTACAAAAGAAGGACATAAATATAGGCCCTTGTTGGTACACCGAGGTCCTGGATGGAGCAAGAATCCCCTTGTGCATCAGTGTGACTGGATTTCAGGAACCCCTGCTTTTGAGGATCTTCCCTCTCTTGTAATAGGTGGAGTTGCGCTGTCCCAGATAGATCCTGTGAATTATCTGGGAGTCTTCCTGGACTCATGGCTCCTGCTTAAAGCCTTTGCACAGCTTTGCACTGTGCTCTGATCACAGTCACTCGTGCCTTAAGTCACTTCCCAACTGGATTACTATGATGTGCTCTACATGGGGCTGCCCTTGAAGAGTATTTGGAAGCTTCAGCTGGTGCAAAATGCAATGGGGCGACAGTTTTAGGTGGCACCTCTGCTCTGCATCTCTGTATATGTATGCTCCAGGCTGCAATTTAAGCCCTTCATGGTCTGGGGCCATGTTTCTTATGGGCCTGTCCCTGCCTAGTGATGTCTACTGTTACGTTGTTTTTTCCAGGTCATAAGAGGCATGTAGAGGACAACTCCTAGAATATATAGTTTACCTGAATTACAGACTTCCTTCTGCTCCAATGAATCTGAGGCTGCATGAACAATGGCCATAATGATGGAAAATGCAGGAGGACATACTATGACATATCAGGAGGATAGCTGTCATAAGGAAAGCCATGTGAGATCTCATCGATGTCAATCTAGGGTTGGGTAATCGAAGGTGGATACAGATGAGAACTCTTTGAGGGAGATAGGTGGTTCATAAATGTGAAAAACAAACGGTAGCATAACACCTTTGTATAGACACATATCATAGTTAAAAACCTCTCGTCTCTCATGAAATCCCACCTGCACTGCCCTCTCCAAATATTAATATTAAGTGCAATCTTTGCCTACTGGAAAACTATTCAGTTCTGAATATTGCTATAATCCAATTTTCAAGTATAGAAAATCTCTTAACATAAATAGGTAGTTTCAAACTGTTCGGGTCAAAGAATTAACAGTACCTCAAATCCATAATAAGATACCTTGTTTTTATTCTGTTCTTATAGTTTTTGGATGCTTTTTATAATTAATCACTAGTTTTATGCATTTATTTACTGATTTAGTTTTGTTGTATGCTGCCCAGAGTCCCTTTTGGTGAGATGGGCAGCTTCATCAATTAGACAAAATAAAATATTCTATAAAATCTAAAAAAATATTTGTGTTCCTAACAGTAATCACTATATGTGAATTTTCAAAAGGTTATTTTTTTCCTAAACAAAATATTCAGGTTTAGAAAGCATAAAATGCTTACACACAATGACTAAGCAAATGTACAGATTAAAGATTATGTCTGGTCACTCCATTCAAAAAAGGTTAAGGGAGGGCATCCAAAGAAATTACACAAGACTGACATGCAAATATGAGAGGCAAATTCTGCCCTTGAATCAGTTCTGATAATGAAACACTCAAGAGAATGAAGCAACAGAGTTAAGGATAAAAAACAACCCAGACAGTGCTTTAAGGCTTACTCTTAACCAACTGAATCCAGAAAACAAGTTAGTTTACGTAAGTTTACTTGAACATTTCAGAACCAATAGTCATGAATGTCAAACACTCAATAGCTACTGCATTAATAAACACAGGCTTTTATTTTACTAAAAGACTGAGAAAAGAAACTAAGAACATATTTGCTCCATATTCAAATCCCTCTTATACAGAGATTTTTTTAGAAAAAATCTACTTTTTAATGGATCTAAAATTAATACAATTATGTAATATTTTGCTCTACAAGTAAATAGTAAACATGTACTGTGCTGTTATACTGAATGTGCAGAAATATCAAAAGTTAGTACAATTAACTTAGGCATTCAATAGGCTTTAGATGGAAATCGCTGGGGCTAAATTTAAAAAAACAAGTGGAAATAATTAAGTGTACACTAGAATTTTGTCCTCCTTTAGGATGAACTATATACCAGCTTTCCCAAATTGTACTCTCAATGTATTGATCCCAGTAAGGCAAAGTAGACATCTAGTAAGATCTATGACATAACTATATGTTCCATGGGGAAAAAGTCATTAAAAACAGCCATATATGTAAATTCTCACATAGATTAAAAATACAATTATTTTCTTTACTCAAAATATTTTCTACAATCACTCACCCCATATACTTAGAGAGTATTTTTCTTCATAAGATAAATTACATTTTCAAAATTAATACACACTTGAGCTATCCATTCAAGCCGTATTACACTAGAGAGTTGTATAATGATTGGTAGTGATGAGAAAAACTATTTCATGGTTGTTAAAAGCAGTAAGAAACCTGGAATCTACCTGGCCCTATCTGACCCAGCCTTTTCTATGGTATTATCAATATATGTAGGAGAACTGCCAGAATTCCCCAGCCTTGGAAGGAACTTGGAAGTTTCCCCAGCCTTGGAAGATTAGAAAGCCAAGTTTAACATTTTGTTCAGAAAAAAAAAAGCTGACACCAGATTCAAAGATTGCATTTTGGCGGCTGTCCCCCATCCCCCCCCAATGCAAACTCCAAAGTCAGTTCAAAAAGATTTGGAAACTAAATTGGAGTTTTTAACATGACAGAATGGAGGGAAACACTTAAGTATATGGGAAATAAACAAATCAACTGCACTGAATTAAAGATTACATTTTCTCAGGCCACCCTCACTTTGGAATGCAGCCACTAACTCAAGAACCAAATGCAACCTTTGGCCTAAAAAAAACACTTGTGCATTCAAGCCTCAACACATGGTTTGCAATGTGGTACGTTCTTTAGAAATGATTTAAAAGAAATCCTTTTACCCTCATGCTGGAGCAGAATCTTTTATTTGAAAAATCCTGGACTTTTACAGTTCTACGTCAGCCCAGAAAAAAAAGGTATTACTTTGAAGAATTGTATTAATCTTGAAGAGTGGATCCCTTAAAGCAGGGGTTCCCCAACCCATGGACCAGTACCGGGCCGTGGCATACCAGCAACCGGTCTACACAAACAAGCAAAGCCCCATCCATGGGATGCAGGCAGCACCCAAAACCACGCACCCTCTGGTCCACGGAAAAACCTCTCTCCACGGAACTGGTCCCTGGTGCCCAAAAGGTTGGGGATCTCTGCCTTAAAGCACCAGTATCTTTCTCTGAGGTTCTGGAAATGCCTGAAAAAAACTTGACTGGCTTTAATAAACTGCAAAGACATGCTCTACTCATCCAAGATTTGAACCATTTTCTCAGTTGCAAAATGTACATGGTCCTAATCAATTGTTTAAGTTATTAAAGAAACTGCAAAGTTTCTTTGAGCTGAGCTCAGATAATATATTAAATAAAAATCAAGGAATAATGTAGATTAGAACCAATGTATCATTAACTGTTGATTTCTTTATAGCATTTATATACTGCTAACTTCACAGTGATTCATGGCAATAAGTTTTCAAATAAACAATTGATTAAAGCATGCCTTTAACCCAATAATAGCATCCAGTAAGGGATTTCATATTGCTTCTCGGGTTAATTTGTTTTGAATATAATCTGAAGGAGACGACAAGACTCATAACCTTAACCTAGAACAGAAATCCTGGATTTAAATGCAGAAAAGGATTTTCTTGAGAGACCTGCTAATATACTGCTCAAAAAAATAAAGGGAACGCAAACTCCTTCAGTTCCATGTTAAAATGTTCCCTTTATTTTTTTGAGCAGTATATATATATATACAGTATAAGCCAAAGGTACTCTAGGAGGATGCAACCTTGAAAGTTCTTCAAAATTACTATAACACTGTGAATTTTAATATGATAAAAGAGCAAATGACTAAACATACTGGGGATTAAACCTATTTAAATGCATTTAGCATACATTTTATTTGGAGTTACTATGCATTAAAATTAAATTACATTTTTATCGTCCATGATTATGACATTTTTGAAAGGCCAAATGTACTGTTATATTATATGACAGGATCTAAAAACCAGCAAGATGGTATCCTGTATACTTTTTACTCAAATTCACCCAGTTTGTCCCAACCTTTCCCCTACATATCTTATATGGAATAACAGAGATTTCAAAGGTAAACATTTCTCTTTGGCAACCATCTAACAAAAAAAAAAAAAGAAATCCAATGGATTGAGTTATACATAGACTGTATCATCTAAAATCTGCACATAAAGAGGAATGCCAACAGTTTCCAAAGATGCTGTTCCCTGAAAATTCTATTGTACCTAGATTTGTGTGGAAGATTTTCAGTATATTAGTATTACCCACAACATAGTTCTGGAATACAGGTAGTCTTCAACTTACAACAGTTCATTTGGTGACTTTTCAAAGTTACAACAGCACTGAAAAATGCTGTTGTAACTGTTACGACTGTTGCAGCATTCCCATGCACACATGATGAAAATTCAGATGCTTGGCAACTGGTTCATATCTTGGACAGTTGCAGTGACTTCTGACAAGCAAAGTCAATGGGGGAGCCAGATTGACTAACCTGTTACTAACTTAACAGCTGCAATGATTCACTTAACTGTGGAAAGGTCGTAAAATGGGGCAACACTCACTTAACAAAACTAACTTAGCAACATACATTTTCAGTTCAATTGTGGTCGCTGAGGACTACCTCTAATAATATGGCTATTATTCCATACGTACTGATATATGCACCTGTGGATTCACAATATGTGATGCCAAAGCTGCAGTCTTTGAAACAAAATTATTCCATTCCTTCTTAACACTGCCATTAAACTGATCCATCTCAGCATTCATTTCTATGTTCTATTTTATTTGGCCTGGCCCCCAAACACCATAACAACTACCATAACCATGCTTCTTTCCCCAACCCAGATAAACTAAACAGAATTTCAGTTTAACTCAGCAAACCCAGAACACAGTCCCTGAAAAATGGCACCATTAAGTATGCAGCATAAACTAATCTTGTCACAATACCTACTAATATTATCATACCCCAGCCCAGAAGATAAGAGAATTGAGAATATCGTTCAATTTACATGAATGAAAATATAGGCTTACTTTGTATCTCTCGTTATTGGATAACCTAACCTGGAAGCATACTTATATTATTCTTGTCTTTGGGAAATTATTTGTATTTATTTTAGGAATAATTATTTCTGCTTTTGCATCAAAACTATTATTTCACATTTCCAGAGAATTCAATATATTTTTAGAAATATATTTCATAGATATAATACACTTAACTACTGAAAAGTTCCAAAACTTTAAGAAACCTTATCAACAAAAATTAAAAATTTGATTTCCTATGACCTATGTTATATACCCAGTCCAAGATAAAAGCAAATGAGATTAAGTTTCAAGATAATCTTTTCTCTACTGTGAAACCTATTTGGCCAAGATTAGATTGAAATATGTTAGCAATTGTGTAGGTTTCTATATATTAAGTATTAGGTAAGCAACATGTATAATGCCACTGGCTTATTAATCTTTACATATGTTAAATGTTCCTATTAGTATTGCAATTTGAGAGATAAAAGGATATACAAACAAAATCTAAGCAATACAATAGTTTATACCAGGTAAAAAGAGATGTCATCCATATTCATTTGCTGTACTTACCCAACATATATAACTTAACCTTGTAATTTATAGCTAGGTAGGTAGTATAAACAAAAACAAAATATTTACAGATTATACCTGCAGATATTCACATATAGGCAAATACATTTCAACAGAATGAAATAGCTTGAGAGCTATATCTACTCTTGAACATTTGGATAAATGGTATGTTTGTCCAGCCTGAGTCTTGTTATGCATTTTAGATTCATAATCACAATTATCATTTTCCCAATCTCCATCTTCCAGTATCTCTCTGCTCTAATCATTAGAAATCATATGCTTGTTACTGAAAAATGATGACTTGTCCTTAATCTTTCTTCATTACAAGAAAGACATTAGTCAACCATTTATCTATGAATATCTGGTAGGGGAAAGGTGCATTACTTAACAGAAGCAAACAAAGGATTCCATTTCATCATAGCAAATCCTAGAACCTCAGCAAACTTGTTTTTCTAAATTATATCAAACTGGCTCTTTCTGCAGTTATCACTTTTATTCCACAAATATGCCTCAGTGTTAATTTCAAATAAACAATATAATCCATTGGTTATAAAATGCCGTATTATTTTTTTTTTACAACGCAAGTACCTGGATGAACTTAAAGCAGCCACTACTAGACTGATGTAACAGTTTCCTAACTTCCCAACTGAAGTTAAAGGTTGTGTCAGTTTGAACCTTGGCACAGGCAAAGCACGCCAACTCTTAGCGAACACTGTTCAATAAGCATGCAGGATCCTGAAAACCTCCCAAACCTAAACGGTTCCAACGTTAATTATTTCCTGCAACTTATCAGCACACAATAGCGGGCACAATCCTCTCCCTCTCCTAATTTCCCAGCTCTTATATACTCACTTCTTCTAAAAACTTTGAGACATCGTATATACGACGGTTTATAATAATCCAAGTACTCTGGCTATGATTATGCTTCTGGATTTCCTCGAACTTGTAATAGCAACCCCGCCACGGTTCTTTCTCGGACTTGTCGCCGCTGGTCTTCGTCATCGCCGCTTCGTTCGGTCCCCTTTTCGCCTTTTGCAATGCAGACTCAAGACTTCCACGCGAAGTCCAGGAGCAGCAGCAGCAGCAGCAGCAGCAAGCAGCCCGGCGGAACTGAACTGCGCAGTGACCTATGAGCCTCTCACCTCACGCAAGCGCAGATAAAGTCTTTACGTGAGCAACCCTTAAACTGCACGCGCCACCCTCTGCTTGAGAGGAGGGGAGAAAGAAACGGGAGGGGGGGGGAAATCGCTTTTGTTGGCTTCTGATTGGCTGACCGACTGCTGCTGGGTCGGTTTTCTGAATCAACGCTCCGGGATTCCAAGAAACTCTGCTTTCTTACGCTCGAAGGGGAGCAGCGGGGGGGAAAAAAAATCAACGAAAGTAAACATAGAGATAAAACCGTGAAAAGTGCAGAGTAGACCGACATCACAGAAAACGGAACACGGTGATGCGAATTGTAAATTGTGCCCTCGGATAAAATGCTTCAACTGTCGGTTTTATTTGTTATCGAATGGCATTATTTATTTCTATTGTTGCAAACTGTTTTGCAGGTTTGATGTAAAGCAGATGGAAAACTGTTCAATGGGCATTTATGGTGCGTTAAAGGACATTCAAAGAAGTAGCATTGTTGTCCACAAAAGATTATCGCCAATAAAGTAATTTTTACTGAGGTGTATGATTCTTTATATTATTTCTAGTTGGTTTAATTTAGCCTGTTCAAAGCTGATGTAAATTTGTGGTTTTACTCTAAACGGGTAGAGCCTTTCTCATACATCATTGAAACTTTGGTGTCCACGTTGAACACCAATAGTAGCGTAGAAACTAAAGAATATAGTTATCTCTGTTATTTACTTATTTATATGACTCCCATCTCGTTAACAAGTGACTCTGGACAGCTTACTTGATACTTTCCAACACGTTTATATGACAAATATCTCACCATGGTTAGAATCTCTATGGATAATCTTTAATTTCTTTAAACCAATTATTCACCTGCACTTTCCTGATCCTTTACTGCAATGTAAATAACGATTTTGAAATGCACAAAGACCAATAATGACTTGGGCCTTAATATCTTCTCAAAGACAACTTTTTAAAGCAGCAAATTCTCAGATAACAGACTTGGTTTTCAAGAATAATAAATCAGACAAAACATTCCGGCACAAGGAAAAATGGAAGACAAAAAGATGCAAAATCTGGATTCACTAGGTATTTTGAATGTTTCCAGTACCAATCCCACTTTTTAGATGGGCTAGCCAGGTGAATGAAATGGGATGAGAAACCCCATTTATAAAACCTGAAGTATAAGTTCAGTGTAACTTTATTGGGGGACAGTAGAAAGTTTACAGTTTCAAACTTGGGGGACACATTTGTGACATTTTACCACAGTTAACAGTTGAAAGAGCCTGCTCAACCTGTAGTTATGTCTTTGCAAAATACCTAACATTGTTTAGCCCTGTATTTTTGAATTATATAGGACACACACCTACAATTTTGAATTTACTGGAAGTATCCCGCTTTGTATGTGTTACAGAGATTTTTCTGAAATCCCCATAATTCAGTCACTATGATCAAGATGAAAAATTAGTGGATGGTCAAAGAAAACATGTGAAAATCAAAAATAGCTGCTCTGATTTCTTACAAAAAAAATAAACCCAATCTTCTATAATTGGACAATATCTTCATTAGGGGATAAAGTTCAAAATGAGCTTCTGCCTATATCTACCGTATGAGTCAGGATGATCAGAGGTTACAGAAGTAAAAAAAAAATGCTTGAGTCTTAGGGAAGCGCCTTATATTTCCTCGTGGCACTAAAGCCGCCTGTCCAGAAGTCCGAAAGTAGCATGTAATCTATGCCTGAATCAGAATTAAGATCTTTTTAAAACGCTGGGACATTTTCCCCTCTACAAATTAGAAGGAAAGATATTGCGTAATCCCGCTTTCTGACCCCAGCTCCGGCGTGCCTCGAGGCTCTCCCAAGACTGAAGGTTATCACGTGCTGGTGAACTTTGGACAAGGCAACTCAGCCGAATCCGGGGCTGCGTTACAAACCAGCTCTGACCTGTTACCCATCTCGCCGTGGCACTGAATTGCACCATAGATCAGTGTTTCTCAACCTTGACAATTTTAAGGCATGTGGACTTCAACTCCCAGAATTCCACAGCCAGCAATGCTGGCTGTGGAATTCTGGGAGTTGAAGTCCACATGCCTTAAAATGGTCAAGGTTGAGAAACACTGCCATAGATACTTTGGGTTAAGTGACCATTCTCGCTTTTGCTAAATCACCATTCCTATCCGTGCGTATTTTTCCTCTCTGTTGAGCGCCTCAGGGCATAACAGAAAAACGTAACGTGCAGGGAAACTAAAAGACGGAATGCACAGAAAGGGGGGGAAAGTTAAGATTTGTAACTGAGAGAAGCCCCCTCCCACCTTTTTTG